AGCCTGCAGTGCTGCATTTAACCACTGCGCCACCTTGGCTCAGATAAACGGGAACAGATTGCTGTGGTAAAGGATGAAAGTACAGAAGCTTATAATTATTTGGAGTTCTTTATCAAAATGTCTGTTTTCCTTTTATTAGTATCAGCAGAAAATAGTTATCATTTAATTATTTGTATTTATTTATTTGTAAAATGTATTGGCTTCCCATCATAGCATAGGGTAACTCTTGCAGTAAATTAATAAATGAATATATAACTATTGATGCAATGCTATTGTATTGATGAATTTTAATTGTAAGTTGTGTGATGGCTCTTTTGACACAAATAGATTGGATAGCCATCCAGTGATTGACTGTACATATAACACTTTTGTTAACATTTTGTGTGAAGAATTATGGCTGAAATGAGCATGGGTAGAGAAGAGAGCTTAAGGATAAACCATTTTTCTTTCTCCTACCCTGATTTTAATTGGTCTTTATCAAGTTCTGCAGATGGAGTTCAAAAAGGATTTCCAACTGTGAAATTCACAAGAATCTACAATTGGCCAAATCTCAGAACTCGATTTAATCAGGAGGCTTTTCTACGTTAATTTAAGTAGTAATATTTGTGAAGTATATTCTTATGGATTTGAGATTATAATGATTCCATGGTTGTCTGTATACTTAGGATTTCCAGCACGGTTTCTACCCGGTTTTGCCCCAACCTGACATACTTTTTTAACAGAACTTTTTTATGTATTTAATTTTAAGGAAACAGGCAAGCTGCAAAGCAAATAATATCTTTATTTGCAAGATTACTTGTTTTGCTCCATATGGGCTGTATTCTTAGAAACCAAAAATGGATATTGATGATTCCAGCCTATTACTTTATTGGAAATTTGCCACCTGTTCAGGAAACAAAAAGATAACTGTAAAACAGCAAAATAAAGAAATAGAGGGGGTAGGCATAATTACTTTGTCTTCTAGTAGATGGGAATATTGGGTCTGGTTGCTTTCCACCTTAATAGCTGTTTTAGGAATCGTCAAGCCCTGTGTCCTTGAAGCTTTTGATATTAATCCTACAGCAGTTTTTCAACATTCTAAATATGCTTATTGGCCAAATTCCATATCACGTATACGTTTAAGTGGTTTTAAAAGATTAAATGTGAGCTATTACAGCTGAGAAATATCTAATATTCTCAGGTGTGAAATAAGAATAGTAAACATCATCTCAGGATGTGATTGAATTGTGTAACATTGCAACATGTAAATGATATCTTTTCAAACTTCATATTCTGGCCTAGATATTAGACAACCTGTGGTTTCATGGTTTTGTATAAAACTTCTCCTTACTCCCATTTTGTCTTTTTACATTGTTTATTCTAAAAATAGAATTATTGCATAGTGTTTTCCTTCCAATTTCATTTTTCTGGAATAATGTTTTCTTGTATTTTGTGCAGATTTCTGGTGATGAATTCTTTGCAGACACGGCAGCAGATATTTTGCTTTATGTTTCTCGGGATCTGAGTGACACTGTAAGGTTTACTGCTACTAGATGATGATAAGCTGCTGAGTTGCCTGCAACACCTGGAATAAATGTATCTATGGTTAAAATGGGTTGTCAAGACCAAGGCAATTGTGCCATATTTACCCAGCTAAGGATGACCAGTTCTGCAGATGTGTTCTAGAACAGAAAACTCAAAAATTTTAAAGTAGGGTAGAGACTGGTGGTTTAAAGCAGAGATTCTTTATTTAGGAATGTGTTAATTTTAATTTCAGAAATGTGAAAGAATGTATCTAAATTTTGTTCCTCCTACTTATTTATACATGGTTATATTGTAGAAAGTTCCTAGTTTTTTAAAGAAAATGTCTAGTTTTTTTTTTTTTCAGGCAACATTTTTTATTTTTGCCTCTGAAGAATAGGTTAACATCTGGACCTATTGCAGACATCACGCATTCCTAAATTTCATATGCCTGATAACAATCCACGCTGAGTGAGAATAACGGTGGCATAACTGTACGAAATAACTTTATCTAAATGAGATGCCACCATCTCTGTCTCTCAGTCAATCACATGCTCACTTTGCAAATATTTCATTTAATAACCTGGCCATTGGAACAAGATTATTCAACAAGGAATGGGTATATTGGGCAGCCTCAGGAGTGAAAAAAAGGAGACTTCTCAATCAGTCCCTTTTCTTAGGCAGATCTTACCACCTTGCATATATACTTTAAAAATTGGGTTATACATTAAAGTCTATGATATTGTTAATTCTTTGGTTTTCAGTCAGGAGGGTTCTACAGTGCAGAGGATGCCGATTCATATGCTACAGTCCAATCAGAGAAAAAGCAAGAGGGTGCATTTTGCGTATGGACAGCTGAAGAGATTCGACAGCTCCTGCCAGACCCAGTTGAAGGGATCCAAGAGGAAAAAATTGTGGCAGATGTTTTCATGCATCACTATGGAATGAAGGAAGATGGCAATGTGAATCCAATGAAGGTACAATTGGGAAGGGTTGGCTTAGAGGACCTCTAAGAGTGGGAAAGTTGAGTCCCTTATTAGTGACAACACATGTGCTAGCCCAGGGGTCCTCACCAGGGATCCTCAACCACCCCAACCATGATCGGGCCTTCGGAACCAGGAGGCAGAAGTGTTGGTTGAGCACATGCATGCATCCTTACTTGCACGAGTAGCAAGTGAATGTGTGCATGTGCTCCATTTGCACAAGAAGTGGGTGTGCATGCCTGGCACTTGCGCAAATGGAGCACTTGTTTGTTGCTCGCACGGAACTGTCCCTTATTTCCTTCCCCTCCACTCTGCAAAGTAGGAAAGGTTGGGGAACTGTGTGTTCACCAACAGGTGACTGTGTCTTGCTGGGCACAGGATTCTGAGTTCTGATGAGACACTACTCTTTCTAAGATCTCAGAATTCAGGATCACTAGTTCTTCTCAAAGCTGATAGGATACTAGAAGTTTTCATTATTGAAATAAATATCCAGTTGTCTTGCCCCCTTTTTAATTCTCTTATATACTAAATACAGGTAGTCCTTGTTTAGTAACCACAATTGAAACTGTCAGCTCAGTCATGAAGTGAAATGATTGCTAAGAGAAACTATGATTGTGCTTATGGTCTTAGCTTCCCTTTGCTTTACAGACTTGCAAAGATTGTAAATGCAAAGATTGGTCATGAAGTTGCTTTCCCATCATAGTTGTAACTGTGAGTGATTATTAAATGAGGCAGTGATTAAACAAGGACTATCTATATCCATGAGTTGTTTATTAATAAGGCTTGCCTTGAAATATAACCTTGAGATCAGTTAAATGTTACCTAAGACAGGCTTAGGGAAATCAGCAGCAACAAGTTGCTGGTTCTAATTAAGAATTCTCACTTTTAGGGCATGCATTTGATAGCTTTATTTGTTTTGTCCTGATTGTATTGAACTATGTTGTGTTTAGCTAATTCATTGAGGCTATCCATTTTGTTTTGTTTTGCTCTGGGAGCAACCTATCAAGGGAAACTGACATATCTAGATGATCCCACAGAGATAAAGATCAGACAATGTTGCATCCTCAGTTGGTCATTCTAGGGAGGAAGAAAATGGTAGGGGAAAGTCCTGTGGTGCCGCAAGATATTCATAGGGTTCTTTGTTTAAAAAATATTCAGTCAGTAGTTGCTATGTAAAACAAGGCAATACTAGTTGATTAAAAAGTTGAACTTGAACTTGAAAATGAATTTCACTATTTGATGCTCCCAAAGTAGTGAAAAGGCTTTATAGGTAATTTGGTCTTTTGACAGAAGAGAATAATTACTTAAGGAAGTCCAGGAACAGTGGTGGGTTGCAGGCGGTACGCCCCGGTACAGGCGTACCGGAGCCTGCCTGGAACACCAGGTACTGTTCTGGTACGATGCTCTGGATAGTCCTACCCGCCCGCCCGAGCTCCTTTCCTGTCTTTTAAAGCGTTTGGCGCTTCCGCGCATGGCGCATGGTGTATACAACACCTGTGCGACACTGAGCAGCTGGAGCGTCATGGAGGCTTGCGGAGGCATCGCTGGCAAATACAGTGCATGTGTATGCTATGTGCGCGTGCTGCCCACATCCATCTGGACGCCACCAGGCCGATTGAAACAGGATCCGGAACTCACCACTGTCCAGGAAGGACTATTTTCTTTTGATAAGGTCATGACAGTGTTGTGATAGATGAAGTAGTTAGGGATATTCAAACTTTTTCCAATGGCAAAACCTTTGCAATATTTAAGAAATCTTTTAAGCACCTCCCCTAACTGCAGAAATAATGCACATGTTAAAAAAAATCAAACACACACAAACACACACACACACACACACACACACGAATAATATTGGATGAAATCAGTAAAAATTTCCCATCTGAGAATATTCCGTTGATGGGTCACATCATATATATATCATTCTAGCATGTAAGAGCTTAAGGAGGCTTTCTTTATTTTTTTACACTGATCTTCTATTTCAGGACCCTCACAATGAATTAAAAAGAAAAAATGTTCTGATAATGCAATATTCCCTGGAACTTACAGCTGCCCGATTTGGACTGGGGCTGGAAGAGTTGAAGACGTTGCTAGTTAAAAGTAGGCAGAAACTATATAAGGCACGAACTCAGAGGCCACGGCCCCATCTGGACAGCAAGATGCTGGCATCCTGGAATGGTGAGGTTTGTTCTTTTGCATGGAGCTCAGTAACAAACACCCTTACCAAACTGCCTGGAAGACTTCTGTGAGGGGAGAGCAGTATATTCGTTGCCATAAATTCTTCCATTGTGCGGCCGTTCAAGGGAAATAATTTGGTGAGCAGACTTAACCACACCTGATAAGCCTGCTTCTGTGGTGTTAGAAGAATAGTTTATAAAATCATTGAAGTCAGCTAGTTCTTTTTTTCCTCTTCTGGTTTTTGATCTTTTGCTCTTTTTTCTTCTGGCCAAAAATATTCTGGAACAGTTTATTGAAACTGTTTTGGCAGCAGGTGGCAGTAGCACCTTTTTCCTATTCCCTTGCAGCCAAAAAAAAACCAAAACCCTTTGTTAATCCATGAAGGTGTTTATATTATTGCAGTTTTTCACATTATATGACTATAGAGGGAGCACTTCTCTCCTTTATGAAATGAAGATACTTGAACATACTATATATAATGAAAAAATAATAGACCAGCTCACTTGCTTTCTGTCCTGGTAATGTGTATGCCGCCCAAATGGTTCCAGAATGGTTCTCAGGTAAGCTTTCTTAAATCTTCCATTTAAGTTTCTAAGTTCATTTTTTAAAAAAGTGCAGGAAAAACATTTCAGAGCCAAGAAGACCTACTGATTGGTGATCTTTGCAGGGTATTATTTTACCAAGCCCTAACGTCTGCAAATGAATCATGTGGATCATGAGTGATGAAAATACTGTCCATTTCTTTTTTTTCCTGAATCACTGATTAAGAGCAAAAGAAAGCATATAAAATAATGCTCTGATCATGTGACAAGTGAAGCATTTGAGAAATGATAATTTGCTTTTACCTGTCTTCAGCATATGTGAAAAGAGCCATTTTAAGGAAGAAGTTATAATCTAGGAGGAGACTTATTCTGGCTCAAAAGAAATACAGGTTGAATATTCTGAGGGTATGAATTCAAATGAGCAGTCTCCCACTAATTTGCTTTCTAGGACTGATGATCTCTGGCTTTGCTCAGTGTGGAACCATCTTAGGCAAGAAAGAATACATTGACCGAGCTGTATGTGCAGCTTCCTTCCTGCAAAACCACATGTTTAATGCCAGCAGTGGAAAGCTCCTAAGAACCTGTTACCAAGGACAAGGCAACACAGTGACCCACAGGTAAGTTACAGGCAATCCCAGGCACTACAATGCCATCAAACAGAAGAAAACATGGACCAAGGGAAAATGGGACTTACCTCAGGCATGGATTACCTGCTGTAAATGCTGAGGTTCTGATTCATCCTCCTGGATCCAGTTAAAAATATTAATTAATAGGCACAGGGAAAGATTTGTGCTCAGGTCCATGTAGAATTGTTGCCAACTAAAAGCAAAACTGTACTGGGATGCATGAATAAATACCCTGGCCTGAAAAATAAAACCCAGACATCTTTCTTACACAAATACGTAGCCACTGCATTTTTGTTTCTGTAATACTGAAAGAAGTATGGATGAGAAGAGGCAGTTCATATTGGAGAATGGTAGACCTAGAATTTTCCTGGGGAGAGAAACCAGTGAAGCTGAAAATTAAAACATCTAAAGGCATGCTAGGCAGATGTGGCCTATATATACTTCTTTTAATCTTATTATACATCTGGACATGAAATTTGGAGTTTCCAGCCTGGTTTTTTTCCCCTTACTTGATCCTCGGCTATATCCTTAAACAGGTTACCGTATCTGAGCTACAAAGATACAGTTGACATTTAGATGGTACAAAAGACTTTTCTGCCAACCGGGAAGTCCAGATATCACAGCCATACTTAAAACGAGAAACAAATCATATTCTAAAGAACAAAATGATAAAATTCTCACTAATATCTAGACTAGCTTGAATTAGCAGCACAATATCTGGACTTAGTAAGTATAAGGAATTTATTATTATTTTTTGTTCTTGGTATTGTTTTTTATTGTTCTTATTTTTTAATAACCTAGTGGAGAGAGTAATACTTTTGCTTACATGCTCAACCTGCTTTGTCTACGCCAATCTCACGGCCCCTTCGTGGAGACTGAGTACCCAGTAGGCAAACACTACTATTCTTGGCTGAGGTTGAACAGAGGATGGTTTACATTTGAGATGGCAATTTTCAGGTTGCACTTCTAAAATAAGTACTCTAGAGCTTCAGTATTTAAATGATAGCAGCGTTTCACTGCAGACCTGGAGAGTATGCTGATCATGTATAACCATATTGATAGAAATACAGTATGCCTAACTTGTAATGATAGCTATTAGATAATGCCACAGTATACTGATAATATGGTTTTATACAGGTAGTCCTCGCTTAACAACCACAATTGGGATAAGAAATTGCTGCTAAGCAATACAGTCATTAAACAAGACATCATGTGATCATGGCTTGCAATTTTACTGCTGGTTTCTCCATTGTCTCTACTTGTTGAAATCCAGCTGTGAAGCACACAAATGGTGATCACATGATCACAAGCACACTGTAATGATCATACGTCTGAGGATTGGTCACAAGTAACTTTTTCAGCACATCATAACTTTGAATGATCACTAAACAGGGCTGTTATTAAGTGAGGACTACCTGCACCATATATTTATGTGAATAGATGATACAAAATATGTAGTATATAAAGGTCATTAAGGTCAGACCAGAGTGGCAGAAAACCTTATTCTAGAAGATTGCAGCCTACTTAGTCTAGGTGGAATGATGCATTCAAGGAGATATAGCAAAAGTTGCTTTCAAATCATCAGGTAATTCCCATGAGAACTGGATGAGATGAAAAAGTACTAGTCATGAGTAAACTGCCAAGATTGAATAGTTGAGCCATTCCATAGAATCAAGGAGTGTGCATAGTGGGGTCCTGCTTTAATTCTTTGAAACTAATTCAAAGAATTAAATGCTGCTTTAATTTTTGAAACTCAAATCCAGCCATGCTTTAAGTTGGGTAGATATGAATGGGCATTATGTATGTGAGAGTAAATTGAGGTTTTACACAGTGAAAAGTAAACATTGAAAACCTGTATTTGTTTCTATGTTTCTTGTCTGTGGATAAGTAAGAGTATCCAATAACACTGAGGCATTATAAGACCCCCTTGGCAGACAGTTAGGATTCCATCTGAAGGAGGAAATGTTTTGATTAAAATTAGGTGTATAGTGGAAGAACTTAGAGTACATTGTAGTTTAAAAGGCCTTTTACTGCCTCTTGCCTTTTCATAGGAGCCAGTAGATATCTCTGTGAGATTGGCTAGTTGTGCAAATATCCACTTTCTGACAGGCTATGTCATCTTAAAATTGCTCTTCTCTTGACCAAACACAAATTACATATATGTCAATAGAGTTAGGGGTAATCAGAAAATCAGAAAGGAAGGGTGATTTGCTTTACTACTTCGTGATAGCAGCAGTTCCACACCTGCTTTTTACATCTCAGATCGAACTTTGCTTAACAAATTTGCTAGCAAATTGAGTTGGTGGGAGTAAAGATGGTGAGAAGAAACAAAGAAGGGAAGACTGAAGAGGTTACGATGAAACTATTTGCATTCACCTTTTCATGGATAAATGTTTTGCTCCCAGGTTAATTTCCATTTTCTTCACCTTTGTAATATCACTTCAAGGGAGATTGAAGTACTATTTTTCTTATTTGGTCCACACATTTGGAGAAAGAGATTGGTTCTCTACTTGCCTTGTGTCCAAAATACAATAGCCACTGTTTTCAAAAGAGGGTTATTATCCTTTGCTTTCCATCTAAGAAGATAGAAAACATTTACACTGGATTTCAGAACTATCTATGCTGTTTTTTTCCAAATATCCAGAGCAAAAGAAGACATTTAAAAAAGTATATCTTTCAGTATTTTATAAATTAGAATAGTGGGAGAAAATGCTGGTCTAAGAGTAGGGATAGAATGTGTGTATAGACAGATACATATATTTGTATATATCCACATAAAAATATTATGCCCCACTCCCTATATTGTATAAAATACTGCTAGATTCTCCAGCAGTACTTATGTAACAATCTCCTATGGCAGTTTCTGGTATGAGAGAGAGAGTAAATTCTCAGAACAAACACTTATTCTCACTCTCATATTGGAGAAGACAAGGTCAAAGTCATTGCCACAAGGTAAAAGAAATAGACTTTTGCCTGGATATTAGAGAATGTCATTTAAACATTCAGAATCTTGGATCTTCCCTTGGAATATCAGAAATGGCTGGAAATATTTCACATACATTTCTTTGGAGGTGCTCATAGCAATAATTGGATTTATTAATGATAGCTATGAACTCCTATTATGAGGCTGGATTTTTTTTCTCCTTTGTTTTTTTCTAGTTCTGTGCCTATCCATGGATACTTAGAGGACTATGTCTTTGTAATCCAAGCACTCTTTGATCTATATGAAGCCACACTGAACCCTAGCTGGTTGGAATGGGCTGTGCAGCTTCAGCAAAAACAAGATGAACTCTTTTGGGATCCGAAAGGTTTTGCCTATTTCTCCACAGAAGCTGCTGATCCTTCCTTGCTCTTTCGCATAAAGGATGGTATGTATTTCTTTCAGAAGGAGACTCCAGTTTCTAGTGGTGATTAAATGACAGTCTATGATCTGGGCACTGCATTAGTGATACAGCTCACCTAGAACAGAGTTATTCAACAGTTATTGCAGGAAAAAAAATCAATTTACAATTAATTAGAATTTGGATTTTCTCCTGAGCTTATTTTAGAAACAAATTTCCAGGATACTTAAAAGATTACCCCAAAGGAAAAAAATCCCACTCTTTCTCAAGCTTGGATTAACGTCTAACCAAGGGAGGATTTCCAACTTCTCATTCATTACCATGTACTATCTCGAGGGGCCTGCTTCACTTCATCCCATTCTTACTTAACCTCAGGTACAGATGTGACCAGAAACAGAGGTATCAAAGATATAAACAGGAAGATAATCAGACTTTTTATTGGCTGATGGAAAATCCTTGACATGCCACCATTGATATTGTTCTCTTTGCAGTTGAAACAAAGTTGAGGAACAAATGTGTTGGGAATTAAAGGACTGGTGTAGAAGAGTGATTTTTTTTTACTCTATAGGCCCTCCTTGTTCTAATTTTTGATTTGTCTTTGAAAATTACCTGGCTTGTCAAGGGAGGAATCAATCTGAAGATAACTATGGGTTCTCTTACAGCCTTTTAGCTTTGCTGACTAAAAGCTAGAAGGTGAATATGCAAGAATAACAGAAGTCGCCCAGCTGGCTTTCATGCCTAAGGCAGGACTAGAACACCTGGCTTTTTGCCTGGTGACTTAACCAGATCTTTCTAAGCTAGCTGAAGCAAGTTAAGCTTTATTTGGCAAAGAACACTGTATGTAAGCATAGTATAATTTTTCTTTGAGTGACATTGTGATAGGTGCTTATGAATATGGATGAGCTTTGCTAGGGGTTCTAACAACCTGGTACCTCCCCAGATACCTCAGAATTTTCCAGCATTGCCTTAGTAGAGATCAACATCTCTACTAAGTTTTCTTGTCCATTGGGAGAGTTCACAGTAAGAATAGTTAGCATTCCTTTCCTGATTAGCACTGTGATATTTTAGCACAGGGGTCCCCAACTCACTATCGGGCCACAGCCCATTCAAACCGGGTCGTGCCAGTGGCAGTTGAGCATGTGTGTATGTGCAGCCCTACTCGTGCTTACACAATTGAAGCTGTGCATGCATGCATGCCTGCCTCTTATGCAAAACCATCCCCTCTCCCAGACCACCAACCTGGAAAGTTTTGGAAACGCTGTTCTAGCAATGTCTTGGTCTTTCTCTGTAACAAAATGTACATGAATACTATATGGTAGATCAGGTTCATTCTGATATGAAAATGCCAAAAAGTAGTTTCTGTGCTTTTTTTCACTATACAACCATCTGCAAAAATTAATGCATGGTATCTGCTTAAGAGGGGAATCTGATTTATCAGAAGACCCAGTTTTGTTCTGGTCTAGTCTTGATAGGTACAAGTGGTGAGGCAGCAAGTATGGAACATTAATGTGTTGTGCAAGTATGAATAAGGCAAACATCTCTCTTGGCATTTTCATATCA